AGGGGAAATCCACTGGGTTTATTTCAGGTTTTAAGGGTCACACCTGCCCTCGGCACCTCCTCCCCTCAGGGGCAGGCTCACGCCTAACCCAGTCTCTCTCACCCACAGCGTGAGCTCAGCTCTGCCAGGTGTCTGTCTTGCAGGCTGGCAAGAAAGAAGTTTGCTTTCCTTCCTGTGGGCTGCCCAGGTCCAGCGTGGGCCTGCTTCCAAGGACACGCGCATGGCAGGGCTGAAGCCACAGGAATTCTTTTCACTGCAATTGTGACTACCTTAGGAAAGCCAAACCCCAGTGCTTACGCACATCCCTTGGAAGAAGGCAAAGAGGAAAAGCTGAGCTTTTGAGGGGAAGCCCTTAAGAGGAAAGCGTGCCCCTTTCTAACTGATGTGCTAGAGAAACAAGATCAGGCACTGGCCCCGCAAGCTGTGGGGTTACTGCTTCCGTCCTCCCCTTCCCAACACCAAAGTGACTTGGAGCTGGCTGGCTCTAATTCAGGCATTCTGATTTATTAATCACATGCTACGCTGCCATTTCCCAGCCTACTCACAGGAAAGAGCTTACCTGAACTCCTCCGAATCCATAAGGAGCTAAATAGCGCTCACACTCAAGAGCAATATCGGCCCAGCGCCATTCAAAGAGATGTACGATAGACGTCCTCCCGGGCTGAGTGTTGGGGTTGTACTGCCCCCAGCAGAACCCTACAGCTGCGAGCAGGAGGAGGATTTGCATGATGCCTTCAGTGTGGGGCTGCGGTCTCTCTGCTGGCAATTTATACTCCTGCAAGACGACACGGTTCCTATTGCAGCTGTCAAAATTCACACAGAGCAGATGCTATCGCTTATTTGCCTAGCTGGCTCGATACCCTTCTTCCGTTTTGTTTCTTCCTAGATTGCCCAACAGCTGGAGATAAAACACCTTTTCACAATGATTGTGCTTCATCATAAACCCAAACTCAGAATCGTACTCTTTCCAATCATGCAAGCATACATATCCAAGGGATTCCAAGGAGTAATGCACAGTCCCTCAAGGGAGGTTCTGCAAGGTAACAGGAAAGGAAGGGGATAGAAAGACACCTGGAACTTTATCAGTGCTAGCAGAAGGAATGACTTTGCCAGCATGCACGGGCGTCCAGTGCTCAGGATTAGTCCGAGCTCAAACCAGGCTACCTCTCAAGACACTAACAGAAGTATCACACAACACGTCGCGGGGGGAAGGGCAGCACCGGGTGAGCCACCCTCGTAACCAGAAACTGACCTCTTTTCGTGCCTGAAGGTTTTCTGGCATCACTGCCCAGTCTCTGCTAGGGACTTGTTGCTGGTTTTCTTCCCTCGGGTATACAGAGAAAACGTTGTTCTATGTGATTAAACATGATCGGAGCTGCACGTGGCTCCCTGTCCAACAGAGACTCTGCGGAAGGTTGACCAGCGGTTTCAGTGACCAGTGGTTCACCTGAGTCAAGGAAGGAAAGCCAAAGTCAGCTGTAAAGGGATAACTCGCTCTATTCGCCTCAAGGATTAACCAACACTCTGAGAGAACACGGAGAGCAGAGAGACCCTGACATTGGGTGAATATCTGCGAGGAAACCGACGAATCTGCTAAACGGCACATCCACTCCAAGATAAAAGAAATCTCAGTGCACTTTGCACCTCAACTGCCACAGGCATGTTCTTTCTGAAAGTAGCCATGCCACTGAACGAGTCACATGCCTTCTTCTCCTTGCCAGAATCGGTCTTCAAGGACAAAAGGCAGAAGCAGGACCCATTTGCCCACCTGTTCCTTTACATGTCACGGGCCTTATGAAAGGTTTCTTTTTCCACTACAACTACGACAGACTAAATTACTGCAAATGACCTTCCCTACTCGCTGACAGCAAGAAACCTGTGAGATGATTACACAGCTCGTGATTACCAGTCAAGTGAGAACAGAACCCTCCCCACCATTCCTCAGTACTAACAAGAGCAACCAAAAATGTGCCCCCACTTCATTTCTACATCGCTGGTGCCGGTCTGCTTCCACTGATGTCAGGGCATATCGCTGCCTAACATTGTGCTTCCAATGACCTGCATTTTCTGCCGAAACACACTGTTATCAGCCTAAAAGAGGAAGGACCTGTCCTTGATAGCCCGATGCTACCGGTAGAAATTGATTTTAGGGGTGTTCCAACACAAGAAAAATGGGAACCCAACCCTCTGCCGCCCCCGTCTGAAAACTGCGTGGTTTAATCCATTTGATCTCCCCATAATGTTGGAAACCTGGTGGCGGGGGATCCCCAGAGGACGTGGGTTCCAGGCTTCAAAATGAGACTCTCTCATTAGCAGGCTTTGACACTGCAAACCTAACTTGAGTAAAACTGCTTTTAAGCGGGCCTGCTCTTCTATGTCCCTACGTGGCCGTATTACAGCTCTGCCCATCGATACCATGCTAAAAACAGCAGCGTTTTCCCAGTGCAGTGCTGCAGCGTCAATGCGTACGCAAGACCTACCAGCATGTGACTGAGCAGTAAACCCTGACATAAGACCAAAGCTCAGAGGAGAGACGAAAGAGAGACTTGGCCAGGAGCCTCATGGAAAATAATGCAGGTGTTGATTGTCCACAGGTGTTGCAAAGAATGCTGACTTGATCTTAGCACAAAGAGGGCTGGGGGGTGGCCTTTATTTTAGGTAAACAGCCATGTCATTGGTGTGCATCAGCTGGTAGGGTAACACTCTATCAAACAATATCAGTATCTTCCTGGTTTAGGCAGACCGGTGTGGGGAGGAGTGTACACCTGGCTCTGCACAACAGAGATTCAAAAAACTAAAGAGCTAACAAACGATTTATCAAAGACGGCAACGGGCTTTAGCGGGTTTCAACGCGCATCCTTCTTTCCAGTGACAGGAGATGCCCAGCACCCTGACAGCGAGGGTATTACAGACACCACTAACGGTGATCCCGTCGATACTGCGACTGAACTGTACATCGCAATTGTTCTGTTTTGCCAGCTGTCACGTTTGTATTATGATTTCAGTGTATTTTGTATCACACGGCTGAGTCAGAAAAAGGATCTAACATCAGTTTCTTCAAATAAGCAGACTGGGTAACAGAAGTTACACCCTGCACATGTGAAATAGCTGAAAAAAGCTGGTCTGAGAGTATTCGACTCTGACCCACTCAGACCAATCCCAGTGTTTTCATCCATCGCACTGCTGTTTAGCTTCACCAAGCGAATAAACAGTACCGCTGTGTTCTATCATAACGATGGTTTGAAAGGTACGGAAAGGCAGTTAAGTGTGCCTGTGTCTTAAGCGCACCATCCAAGCATCCCCAGACGGGTTATTAAAAGGAATCCGTACAAGACTAAGGCAGAAGGCAGTCTTAAGGCTGCTCACAGAGAGATCTTAGACTTCACTTCTCATCTTCACAAGAAAAAGAACGTGTCTACATTGACTGCTGCTGCCAGACAGGTGAGTATCTTAATACTCTCCAAGGCTGAGATTGCCCTCCTCTCAGGAAAGAAGCAGTCCTCAGATTGCAGTGGTATCTGCCACAGCAAGTCCCCTGGCAACCCCAGGAAGGGTAGCAAACAGTGGTCTCAGAGAATCACAGACACAGCTATTACAGGAAAAGATAAAGCTGTCCTAGCTGAAGGACCTAAAAAGTCACGCCACAGGGGAGACACAGCCATCATCTTGAGGGTCAGTTTTCAGCTCCCGAGATACTGCCACTGTCACGCCGCTACATGACATGTCACGCTTTTAGACCAGCTTTCCTGAAGAACGGCTTCAGGGATGTTGTAGCACAAAGTAGATGCGGACCCATCCCTTTGCCAGCTCTGTTTGCACAACAAAGAGAGGAGCCTGTCTGCTTCCATGGAACAGAAGGGCTCCCTGCCCTGAGCCTGGTGGCAAGAGACAGTTTGCAAATAGCTCTTACCATCCTGCCACACGGCTCTCCCACTCTTTGACACCGCTCAAGGGAGCAGCCCCAGGGGCTGTGTTTTGCTGGCAGCAAGGTGGTGTTGGCCGCAGTGAGCAGGGGAGACAGGCGGAAGGTCTAGCCTCTGGGACCCGCACACTACCTGGCCCCTTCCTCCGACACCATCGCTGCCCGGCCAGGCACTCGGAGCCCTTGGGCACGCTGAGAGCCGATATCCACCCTCCAGCAGCCGCATGCTCTCCCTCTCCCACCACAAAAGCCAGGTGTACCCTTAAGAGTACACCTTGACCTCAAAAAAGAAGACGTCTGGGCGTTCCTCTGACAAGTGGCCCCTCAGGACTGCGTCGCAACAAGTATTGTGGCCAAGCAGACATTCTGACTTAAAGCAGACTCACACTGACCTAGGCATTTCCTCACGGCTGACAATGAAGTCGGGAAAGCCGCCAAATCTGTGCTCCTTCTGTGCAGTTCTCAGAGATGTTACTGGATAGGCAAGCCAAGCCCTCCACAGAGACAAGCATATGCTGGCGTTGACGCCACTCTCAAGAGCACTAACCGACGCTTGAGTAACCGGCGCCCTTCTCAGGCACCTTTGGTACGGCCACAGCGAACATTTGTTCCCAGCAGGACACTGGGGCTAACCGGATAAGGTCTGTGCTTCAGATTTGTACAGGCACAAGCTCACTGTGAACCAGGCAGACCGCTGCATTGACTGTTGTCATGGGCTGCAATAACTGAATTGGCACGGCCCAGCTTCCTCTGCCACCGCAGAGCCCGGGCTTTGCTTTGCCACAACAAACAGATCCAACTCTCCTGGGTGCCTAGGAACTACTCGCAGCTGACTGCCCACAGCGTGGCTCATCTGGGATGTAGATGTGTCAGTATGTATCAGCCTTGGAAGTACCGCATTTCTAACTCGCCCCCGTGTCGGTTTGGGTCCGATTTATTTCTTCTATTTTACGCTCTCCCCTCTTTCTCTGATGTGGGAAACAGAGTGCTGCATCGCCTTAAAACACAGCACTGCACTGCCACTAGTTGTGACGCGACAAAGTTACCGTCCGGTTCACTAAGGGAAAAAACACGACTCTTCAATTTGCTTGCCATTTATTATTCACTAGATACAGAGAATCACTCCTGCTCAAATACCAGGAAGTCACCAGCTACGGGGGAAACGGTAACGCAGAGACCAAACGGAGAAGGAGGTTTCTCCCGAGTTACAACTTGGCATTAACGTGAATTGCCATGAATGGATCTTCAGCGTGGTTACTAATCTGGAAATGAGCCATTCCATCCCCAGAAACATACACCTGACTTCCAGTGCATCGGTTGGACTCCTTTTCTCCAGAAATAACGTCACAGTAGGTACCAGCAGGCAGCCCAGTTTGCAAATTGACGTTCAGCTCCCTACGTGAAAAGAAGCGGAACCTCTTTATCCAATGCTTCCCAAACAGGTAATTCAAATCGGGCATAGAGGCTTTCTGAACCTCACGCTACCCCCTCACTTTGAGCATTTGGCAGTGGAGAGGGTGAGCTTTCTGATCCTATCCCCGCTTTGCTCCCTGCGCTCCCATTTTGGCTCTCTAGACCTGGCATGTGAGCCAAGGATCTCTGGCGCAGGCTGGCGTGAGCGCTCTCATCAGGAGAAAAGGCCATTCCCCTTCCCATCAGCATTGCTCATCAGGGATGCTATGCTCTTCTCTGAGGACACGGTCTTCTCCCACTGACTTACCAGTCATCATTATTGAAAACAATGAAGCCTTGATTGCCACGGCCAAAAGCTACTTGGTTGCTGCCATTGTCCCACCAGTTGGAGAAAGGCTGACCATTCACCACGTTACGGAAGACAACCATGTTCCTGAAAATGTAAGGGATTGCTGTCACTGGGGCTGCGCGGGCTCTAAAGCCACGAGGACTACGAAGCAAAAGCAACAGCTCTTTCTTCTTTTCGTCTCCACAGCGACCTACCTGATTTGACGCCAGCGATGTTCACAAACCCAGTCGTTGCCACAGGTAGTGTCTGCGTTGATGGTAACAGGCTTTATTGAGCCGTCTGAGTTACTTGGTGGTCCAAACCAGTTATTGACGTCCTGTAGTTCAAAGGAGAAGGTTAAAACTTCTCACCGACCAATTCAGAGAGCCTATCTGTAGACAAAAGCTAGGTGGGGTGTCCACCTGCTAGATCCCACGTGGGACGGAGAAATCACTTCACTAATCTGAACACACCAGACTGCTTCTCTGGCCCTCTTCTGATCCTCCTTCACCACGAAGCTCTGTTCAGCATGACGAGCTTACCTCTCCGTTTACAAAATGTCTTGGCCAGCGAAAACTAGACATCACACGTGTGAACCCATACGGATGAGCGAGCATGAAACCAACTGCCATTTTATAAAGCCTGTTGGTTGGACAAAGAGAGTCATGAGACATGGGACGAGAAACCGTGCCAGAAAACAGACGCAAACAAGCAGACGGAAGAAGCATAGCCCAGACAAGAGCGGTCCTTTACCTGGGGTCCCAGAAGGTCAGAATGGAAGCCCCACCGGCCCCGTGCCCCCGCTGGTTGTCGTGATTATCCACAAAGACCAGGGCTCTGTTGGAAGGCACTAAGCCCCAGCCTTCTCCCCAGTTCCTGGCCAAAAACACAGAGACTTGAAGTTACTCTGTCCACGGGCGTACCCAGGCTACCCCAAGGGCGTAAGTCGCAACATCTTCATCCTTACTTTAAGTAAGACATCTTTTCTCCATTCCACTTGCGGATCACCGTCCCCAGTTTGGCACCGTATTTGAATTCCGTCACTCGGCCGTTTCCAAAGTACTGACTGCCTGTGATCGGCTCTCCACCCAAGTCAATTACCTGGTACACAGAGAAAAGACAAAGCATTTTTTTGTACTTTAAAATCTCAGTACGTTGAAGACATTTCCATCAACATTGTTTTAAGTAAAAGGTGTAGTTGTGAACTTTTTTTCCATCTCCATCCTAAATCTCATTACCCTGTTTGATCACTACAGCATAATTATTGCTTGGGCCTTACCAACATTTTATTACATCTAGTCACCAATGCCTCTGCTTCCAGCATATGGGCAACCTCATTTTACTGTGTAGCTAAAAAATCATTCATTTTTTACCCTAGACCTTTCAGGTCAAGACATTGATTTAGTAATGAATGTCTAGCAAGTTTAGCTTCTGCTGGCTGAAGCTAAGTGATATCTCAGTGATAATTTCTATAAAACTTGAGACTGAAAGCTGTTCAGGCCCAGCTCAAACAGAGCATTTTTTCCTGTTTGGGACTCAGTGTATATTGTGTCTGCAAGAAATATGTGTGTAAAGTAAAAGTACAACTGAAACAAAAAAATAAATAAAGATTACCTCCTGGTAAATGAAAGGTTTAGTTCCTGCAGAAAACCATTGAGTGTTTAGATCTTTCAGCTTGCCTAAAATTGCTTTCACATCTTGAGGCCACATATGCTTGGCAGCATCAATTCGGAAGCCTGCTACGCCAATATCTATGAGATGGTTCATATACTCAGCAACTTTTGAGCGGACATAGTCCTTCTCCAGGGCCAGATCAAGAAGGCCAGACAAGCGACAGTCCCGAACCTGGATGAAAATTCTGAGATGAAATATTTTTCACCTAGTAAACTAAATGTAGTGCTCTACATAACATTTTTGTTACCTACATTACAATCCCAAGTAACTACAACCTTCACTAGCCATTTTTCAACATGCATTTCTTTGCCTTGGATCTTGGACAGCCATCTACACAGAAGGAACACTGAGAAGGCTGCATTCACCCCTCTTACATAGCTGTAGATGCTGAAAGATTATAACTGCCTAACCAGTAAGTCTATAATCCGCTTATTAATGCAAGCATAGGGCAAAAATGTGATAAATTATTTTTTCCAGTGTATTATGGAACAGATTCATTACTTTTTCAAGTGCATTCATTTTTCATCTGATGTGGGAAAGATTTATAGAAGTTGTGTTTCTAAATCTTTTAAAAATCTTGAGTTATTATATCTGTAGGAAAGTATTAAACTTTTGTTTTCTCTCCCCTTTCTGCATTTGTTTCCTGGAAATACTAAATGAGGAACACCAGTTTTAATCAAAAGGATACTTTAAACATATACTGAAATGCTGAATATACTGAAATATACTGAAATGCTTTTCTTAACCCTTATGATGGGTTTCCATGGCTCTGCATACCTGTCTGGACAGAGCAAGGTGCATGAGCCTATGTTGCACTGTGTATCAGAACTGGTTATAATGGTGCTCCTTCAGAACTGGTTCAAGCATTCACAGACATTTAAAGTTTCCCCATCTTCTGCCATTTCTCAAAAATTCCTCCCCCCTAAATTTAGATTCAGGAAAGATCAAATGCATTTGAAAGGCATAAGACATTATTCAAGAAAGGTAGGTATTTATCTTTATAAAATAATTTTTCATTCTGTGGTAGTTTTAAAGTCCTAACCTTGTAATCTGATGTAGAAGGACAGACTCTCAGCAAATCTGTGAACAGAAGGTCACTCTTCAAGATTTTCACATTACTACTCATCTTTATAAAATCCTACCCTTTCTCTCCTGAAATTGAGACTAAAGAAAACTTTCAAATTACACTAAAAGGCAAGTAACTCCTCTTGTTTTAAACACAAAAAACCCCACAGAGGATAATCCCGAAATAGGTCTTGTAAGCTTTAAACTACCTTATTAAGTACCTAAGCATATTTCCCTAAATCTGAAGCTGAGCCACTGGTTCAAGTAGAGATACCCCTTTAAGAAGGGGATCCTATAAGAAGTTATACCATTCCTGATAGCAATGCTAATCTCTATTACCAATTTGGACAGTTTTCCATGTGGGTTTTAATTTTGTTTTGCTTTTAAAAACTTAAAAAGTTTTTGAAAAGTGTGTGACAGTAAAGGGGAACAAAGAAAGCACAGCCCAGGAACGGATGTACATAAAAAATATAGTTCTAGGTTTACCTGACGTACATCATGATAATCCTCAATATCTCCACTTCGAGATTTACATTTACCATCATTAAAATCCCAGACAGAATATGGTACAGCTGGAAAACTTTCAGTCTTTGCATTGAAATAGCTTCCACAAGTACTGTGGTTGCCAGCACCAGCATTAGTTCCACACATATGGTTGATTACAGCGTCCACATAAACGTACACCTAGAGAATAACATTCACATTTAATTTGAGAACTAGAATGTCTTCACTGGTCCCATCCAACCCAAATTAATCTATGGTTTATGAAAAGAAACCCCAACATATCCAACTCCAGTGCTACCACATCTTCCCTTCTAAATTACCATTCATCTATATCCTTGCGCATTGCCAACCCCAGAAGGTCTTAAAAGCACTTACTCCAACATTGTTGCATCTGGTCACCATGTCTCTAAATTCAGTTTCATTTCCAGATCGTGTGCACAGCTTATAGCTGATGGGCTGGTATCTTTCCCACCAGGGTTGCCACCGGTCAGAAATAACATTTTCATTTGGAGGTGAAATCTGTGAGTAAGATGGTGTCTCTTGGTAACAGGATACTGATAATGGTTTATTTCTTTGCCCAGTATTGTTAGAGAAAGATATAAAACCAGAAAACCAGGTCCCTTTAATGGAAGATGGTCACAATAGTTAACCCACATAGATCCTCAATATCCTCTCCTTATACTGTAGTGGGCTGGAAATAAAAGATTTAAGCCTGGACCTTCAGCAGGTAAAAAAATACTATAAAAATTAGGTCCATGGACAGTGTCCTAATTATCTTTGTGACAGAGGCCTCAAAGATCAAAAGCGTGGTCTGAAATCTGAAGGACTAGGCCAGTAGCAACAGCCTTGAATCAGGAAGGAACTGACTTCAAAACAACTGATGTAACATCCTGCCCTTAAAATCAGTCCAAACATTGTAATGTTTTGGATAAAAACTTTCTTGAATGAAACTTGTCATAATTTTCGGACAAGCTACACCTCTTCCTTTTATAGACTCTTTGTGGGGTATTTTTCAGGCAGCAAGCTTTTGCTGACACCTCCAAGTCTCCAGGCATAACCACATGATCCCACCACTCACAAAGAATCCTAGGCTGCAGCCTACTTAGCTGTCACACCTTTGTGATCCACTCAGGAGGTCTGCATCTGAAAAAACTTTCTGAGACCATATCATAGCATGGATTAAAAAAAGATATCCAAATGTCTCCCATAGTCTGAGAATCAATTTAAGACCAATCAGGCCTGTGCATCTGGAAAGGTGGTTGCAAAGAAAACTTCAAATGTATTTGAAAATGATGGTAAAATTCTCACTAAGGCCAACCTGAGAACTCCTGACCTAGAAGAGACAGGAAGATTTCTCTCCCCAATTCTCCTGAGCAATTTGACAAACAAACAGGAATTGTTTAATGAGTGACTACTCTCAGCCATACCACTCCACATATCTGACACTACTGGTTCCACAAGAACCCGGGTCTGTTGTTAAGATAGAACAGACTCACACCAACACACCTTCACCAGAACGTGTGGTCTGTTCATTTCTGCTCTCATCAGACTCCTCCAAAGAAGGGTCTCTTAATGGCTTACCCTGACACTAGGCTTTACAGAGGGAAACTTGCCTGCTTGGTTGAACAGCAGCCCTTTATATTTATTTTAAACCTTCAGCCCTTTAGTATTGAGGAAGCTCTTTTGGAGCCCTCTTTTTTTTTTTTTTTTTCAAGTCATAGTTTTGTGTTTATCTAGCTCTTAAGAACTTTCCTTGATTTAAAATAATATCAAGCACATAAACCTAGGTTACTCTTCACAGCAGTAAAAACAGATTTAGCCAAGGATATGCAATTCTAATCCGTCTAATTGTAATAGCACAGTGCGCAGAACATGCACTTTGGAGCAATGAAACAAATTCATGCTTACACAATGATGGCTGAAGAATATATTTGTGAGCATTTACTACTTCCATTATCAATTTCTATTTTTCTTTCTCAGTACCTGCTCTTCAATGAATTGAAAATTTTCTCTGAAAAACAAATTATCATCTATGTAGTAATTTTATTACCTACTGATCAGAACAGACATACCTGAACTCCTCCAAATCCATGAGGAGCTAAATAGTGCTCACACTCAAGGGCAATATCTGCCCAGCGCCACTCAAAGAGATGTACAACAGATGTCCTCCCAGGGAGAGTATTAGGGTTGTACTGTGCCCAGCAAAGCCCTACAATTAACAGAAGAAATGAGATACCCATCCTGTGCTCTGCAATCAGTTGCACTCTTCTTACTGCCTATTTATGTTCCTGCAAAAGGGTAAAATGCACATTACAAAATACACATTTAAAAGTAAATGCCCATCTTTGGCATCATATTTCTTTAACTCTATTATAATTTTCCTTGTGAACTGGATTCTAAGTTATATCAACCTCTCACACTGACTGGAACTTTGTTTTCCTGGGTTAAAACCCAGACACTGTCTAATCTAGGCTGTCTCTAGCATGTAAAAGTTGCGGTTTTATTAGTATAAAGCCCAAACCAACCCCAAAATGCAAAGGAGTACTTATAATAGACTGAAATGGACATTTAATTTTTCATTTTAAAGTACAATACTTCACATTCTTATTTACATTTATATTTATCCTTGAGAGGCATCTTTTTTTCAAATCTGTGTAACTATCATTTGTGCATATTTAGATAAATTTGGAGAGTGGCAGAAATTTAGATAAATATTGGAGAAGTGGCATGTTTCTTACCATGAGTTGCCACAAAGCCCCAGGTATTCTGGAAGTCTAACGTACGTGATTCTGTCATTCATGATGTGCATGACAACTATCATTCAAACAACAGCCCCAACCTGGGAAGATCTCTCAGATAGAGAAATGACTACAGTCACTCAAACCCAGAAATGCTAGAGTAGGACAAAGCCTTTGCAAACAAAAGGCTGAACTCCTGCTTCCCTTAAACAGTAAAATACTTGTTAATTTTCTAAGTTATCTATTCCTTGTAAAATACTATCTTTACACAGAAACAACACAGGGCAAAGAGGAAATAAGGAGATTCTTGGGTGCTGTCAGGAGACACCAAACACTTCAGTAAAGGTATAAACATGAACACAAGGTCCTTCAGGTTTGCTGCATAAAAGAAACCTGCACATTTTTCACGTTTTAATATACATTTGGGAATGCACAACTGAAAACTGCAACTACTATGATACACATACCCAAACAGAAATTTATAGATAAAATAATTTCTACAAAATGACTTATTTTTAAGGTAAGGCCGATCCACATCTCCCTGTCTGTGGAGCTGCACTCTTTGGGGCAAACTCAGACACAAAACATGCCACCTCATGAAGTGCAGAACCTGCCTCCCAGAGCCTATTGCTATCAGCTGTCACCGCACTTCACAGGCAGACAAAATTATTTAGGAAGAATCATTTGACAAATTTAGCTTGTTTCTCTGCTTGTGAGCAGAATAATTAAAAAAAAAATGTTATTTCCTTGTAGATTTTCATAGAGTATACAGATAAATTTCAGCCGTAAGCAGATGTTCCCTGTGCTTTCACTTTCCTAAAATAATGCTTCGTTGCCCTGATAAGAACATACATTAACAGAAATCGAGCTAAGAAAGTTTGATATTCTCTGGTAAGAGAAGCCATTTATCAGATTAGCAAATTCTACTTACAGCAGTTAAGCACACAGAGCAGTTAACTACACAAAGCAGTAAGAATAATGTATTTTGACACAACCAGCCTAGTGACCCAAGGCCTAGTGCTTGAAGAGAAAACTCGGTGTAGTTTTTCATTTCTTTGAAACAGGTTTTCTGATTTCAGTACAAGCCATGATAAGAGAATGGAGATGGTGAAATCCACAGCACACTCTGTCAGCTCTAGCTTCAAACTGCTTGTGAAATTTGGAAGAAAAAAAAGAGGTGCATACTCCCCAGTGGAAGAAAAGGGAGCACAACTGACTGCGATCCGAAGAACACAGGCGAGAACACACGCAGAAAGAAAGCAGTAGAACTCGGTACGTACATCTCAGGGCTCGTCTATGTCCTTTTCAGCAGGCTTCAGCAGCAACACCCGCCCCCCCCCCACCAGCCTAGGGCCGCCGGGGCAGCAACGATGGGAGCTCTGCCCCTTCCGCTGAGGCAGAGCGGCGCGGAGGGGAGGGGAGCGGAGGTACTGCGGCCGCCCGCCGCCGCAAGCTGAAGCCTCTCAGTCCTATGACAGACTTGCTAGCAAGAAGCTGTTATATGGTAAAATAAACTAATATCTAAAAGCTTTACAACACAAGTCAACATGTTGATTCAAGATAAAATTGCATTCTGGAATACATTTGTTCTCGAGATTTGAGAAAGGAAATCTCTCCGCATACGCACTTAGCTCACTTATTTTTGTCTTTTAACACCACCTCGCGGTTATCCTACTCCCCTGCATGGAATATTTAGTTGGCCTTTTATGCAATATTTTAAGAGCTTGGTTCTGTACTTGCAACTCAACGTGGGTGTTGGGATGTGTTACATGTTTCCTCTTTTATACACACCTTTTTATGTGCAACAACTCAAGTCACAAAGCTTTGGAAAGTGGCTCCATCCAGATGCAGACTAAAAATGTGTTCCACATCTTTGAAGGCCACAGTGGATTAACTAGCATTTTCCACTTTAATGTTTGTCATTATCAAATTAATGTTTCATTTCTTTCAGAACAGTAAAAATGACAACTAGAGTAAATATTTGTCTGCATATAACATAAAAGGATTTCCTGCCAGAACCCAATTGCTAGGCTGGAGTAAAAGACTTGGGGACTCACACTCAAGTGTTTGTCCTACCTTAGGAATGGTAGCAATGTAAGCTGTTTAAGAAAACCAAAGTATTTACAATGGCAAATGTGCTCTCTTCAGTCTTGTATCAAGTAGTGAGATACATTTAAGGAATAAACCAGAAGCAGCAGAAAATAAAATAAGCAATTCTCAGTTTGACATTAGGTCCCTCTTAGCTGTCAATTTCCAAAGATACAGAGGTATAACAAATATGCAAACCCAGTGCCCTAGCTGCAGGAGCTGACCTTGAAGACCCTGAGCAGAATGAGACAGAGAAAAATCAATGATTTGCAACACATCATCTGGGGGCAACTGAAAAGTAATGACTTCAATATGTGTACTCACAACACAGCTATTATTAGAGGCTGTGATTTTGTGTATAAGCCACCTGTATTTACTAGCCAGTTTTTAATAAGATACTACACTTTGTAATGTATGGATTTGTCACTTGTAGATGTCAGAGCATGCAGATTTACAGCAGCTGTTAGAAAATGTTAAGGCAGAAGCTAGAAAGATTCTAATACGATGGCAGTGTTATAAAGCAGGTAATGGAACCAATTAAGAGGGTGGGAGAACCCCACTGGTGGGAAATTTTCTTTGGCTGGTCCCCCACTGCCACCAGGATCTTCAAAATGCTGCTGCACCCTGTAGTGGTTATACTGCTAAAGTAAATGTGTGTGTGCTTTGCCATAGTAGGGACCTGTAACTGGATAAGGCAGGTGAAACTCCACATTGACAAAGAGGTGCAAGGACCGAGGCTGGCAAAATGCCACCTACCATAGTCAAGGGCAAGACTGGGTTGGCCTCTGTTTGCCACCACGAAGAACCTTTAGCTCCGCTGTTGGCTGCAACCCAGCAGGCACTGATCAGGAGGGACACATGCCATGCCAGACCTTGATGTGAGGGATGGCCTCCCCTGTTATAAGAGGGCCATCCAGGAGGGAAGGGCAGGCCAAGCAGCCTGTGGTTGGCACAAGAGATGATCTAGTCCAAATGCCCTGCTCAAGCAGGGTCATCTAAAGCAGGTTTCATCATCCTCACAGTAAAAAAAAAACAAAACACAAAACCAAACAAACAAACACACACACACAAAAAAAAAAAACAAAACCCAACCAACAACAGAAAACAAGCCACAGCAAGTTAGCATATAGATGCAATTCAAGCAGAACAAAGAGAAATAACCAGTTTATCTTAAGTAGTATTGCAAAACTGAATGGCCTTAGATATATTAGCATCACAAGAGGGAGTTTGCTCCGTAATCAATGACAATTGTTGCTCTTACACAGACCAAAGCTAAGAATCAAAACCAATTTAGAAGAAATGTGGAAGCGAGTTAGAGTGCTTCATGAGATGGTCAAAGACTACACTTCTTGAGGTTTTGAGGAGATTTAGAAAAAAGTCAACTTCCTGATTACCTAATCTTTCCTGGATAAGGCAACTGTTTGTAGGAATATTGATGTTAATTATTATAATCTTAATCACTTGTGGCATGGTACAATGTTTTTTCTGGTGTTGCAAACAATCCATGATGAACTATGAAGAATGGAAGAGAAACAAAATTAAACATCAAGCAGAAACAGGGAAAAACTTCAGGAAACTTTAAATAAGAATGAAATAACTCAGTTGCAAAAGAATTTGCAATAGGACATGAAAAGGGGGGATTGAAGAATAGGGTTGTAAATAAGTAAGTTCAAGGACTTTAGGCTTTGTTAGCAACTAACATAATAAATTGCTAAAATAAGCATTGCACAAGAACTGGCCAAAACTGGCCTGGTGGTTACTGACATGACAACCATCCTAAAACGAAGTGACGAAGATGATGAAGAAATAACCACCAGGGGTCCCAAAGCCCACTACCACATTTTAGTGTGCACGTGGGAGGCACGCTCTAGCAGTCTGATGTAATGTATAAGCAACTCCGTGAATATGTATGTTTAAGGACAATATAAACACAGCCTGGTTGATGCTCAGACCAGACACCCTAGGAAGAGCTATCTCCTGTGTCTCCAGGCACCGCAATAAAGAATACCTGCTTGTCAACTTCAACTTTGTTGGCGAGTTCCTGGAGATTTCTCTGAATCAGAAGACTCCACCTTCTGCGATCAGTCAGATCAGGCTGAATCTGTCTTCTCCCCAGAGGGACACCTATTGATCTTAAACTGATCTGATACATGCCCAGTAACTTACACCAGCCGTTATTAGTGATTAGAGCCTGGTAGTGTATCATTTCAATCTTGTTTCAGAGTCCCTATCACTAGCAATTTGAACTTTATCCTGTCACAAACTTGTGTTTTATCAAACTTGCCTGAGTCAGTGCAGACAAGCAATGTATCACAGAGACATGGTGAGGAAATCCTATCAGCTCCTGTTGATCTGGCATGGTTTTAACAGCTACTTCTGGTTTAATGGCTTTAGCTTCACTAGCAATATTTTTCAATATGTGGATGAACAATTAAAGTTAATTA